ATATATATATACATATATATATATATGTATATATATATATATGTGTATATATATATATGTGTATATATATATATGTGTATATATATATATATGTATATATATATATATGTATATATATATATATATTTTATAATAGTACAGAGGATATTATCTTATAAGTTAGTTATATTAATTTTTTTAAAAATATTATATTTCGATCATGTGTATGACCGAGCCAGAAGGAGTTCTGAGAAAATATTATATTTCGAAAATATTAATTTTTAAAAAATATTATATTTTATAAGTTAATTATATTAATTTTTTTAAAATATTATATTAATTTTTTTTAAAAAAATTATTATTGAGATAATAATTCACTGAGTCAGAAGGAGTTCTGATATGTATGACTCATGGCCAGCTCGATATTGGGTCTAGAGGGTCATACACATATGGTAGACATTGCGACGAGTAGAGGTTCAGATATGAGATATCCATCGGAGCTCCTATCTTATTGGATATCCAATAAGCCCTTAAATTATTGGATCCCATGAATGAGATCCAATAATAGCCATTTAGAGATTATTGGGTAGAGATCCACTAATCTAAGAGGCTTGGGTAATTGGATGGAGATCCAATACCCAATACAACATGATCCATCAAGGTTAAGTTGATAGGGAACCTCTATAAATAGGAGGGAACTAATTGTTCATAGGCCAGAGCTTTTTGGGTTGCATCTCCTATTCTCCTCCCATTCTCTTCCTCAGATAGAAGGTTTGGAGTTTTGAGGAGCATCGTCGCAGCCTTGCTGTGTGGATCACCGCTAGAGAGGAGGACGCTTGACCTCCTTCACCATCTCCTAGAGATATGTAGGGATTCAAGGATATACAATCTTCCTATATAACATAATCTTTTATATACGTAGTTTTAAGTTTCACGGATTTTGTGCACCAATCTTCGCACGATGGCGAACACATCTTTGGGAAATTGGAGATTTTATTTTTAATGTTCTTCCATTGTGCATGTGATGTCGCCCCCCAGATTTTCCTACATCTTTAATGTCTCAAGTCTAAGAACCAAACACATAACTGAGACTACGGAACTGTTGTCTGACAATGAGGTATCATCAACCATCCAACATTTAATGAGCGGATCATTCAGTGAACTCATTCTCTAATGAGCACTTGCATTATATCCCTAGTGTCCCCATAGAGGCAACTATGAGACTAGCCACCTCCA